TAGAAAAAAAATTAGAAAATCCAGTATACACCAATAGGGGTGAAATTCAAAACACCTAAACATGGTGGCATTGCCTACCTTAGGCTAGGAGTTCACTGATTTTAAAATTCATTAGGTGAGAAATTTAATTAAGTCAAAACTAGTCCCTTAATTGGCCCTAAAACTTCAAAAAAACACAATAAATCCAATTTAAATCCAAAAAAATACAAATAATATATCAAATTGACCAAAATTAGACCCCCAACATTAGAAAATTAAAAGCCCATATACTGGTTCCTTAATTTGACTTAATTTAATTTTTAATGAACCATAATTCTATAACACTTGAGAACACTCCCATGGATCATTCCTAACCTTTAGGAGTGATTTCATGAAGTTTGGAGCAAAATTATTAAAAGAATTTTTTAATTAACCAACTTAAAAATTCAATTAAATACTCAAATTTCAAAATTTATAACTAGCTTTAAAAATTCCAAATTGAACAAACTCAAAGGCATTAGACTCCATTAAGGGTCTATTATTTATTAAAAATGTTAAACCACCAGAATTAAGTCAAAGTCAAAAGTCAACGTTTTGATGATCTACAGTTCAAATTTGAGTCAAACTTAAAACATTTATAGCTTAATCTAAACAAATTCAAATCCAACAAACTTAGTATTAAATTACTCTCTTTAAGGTCTAGTATTTAGGAAAAAATTTTAAAATTCTAAAATTCAACCTAATTTGAAAAGTCAAAATTTAACCCCTTAATTTAATGATTTAAATAATTCATAAAATTTCAATAATTTAATAATTAGTTAAACTACAAACATTTATTTGATTATTAAAATCAATCAACCAACCCCTTGAATACTTAACAAGCACTCTAAATATGAGGTTTTTATGATGGACTACCTTGAGCTACAGGGCTAAGTGTCTTAAGGACGTTTCAACTTGAGCCCAGTATAACAACACTATAAACATATTCAATGGAGTGCAAAAATTTAAAATTAATTGATTATTAATTACTTAACCAAATTAAAATCCTTAATTCAACTACATTAACCTTATTTTTAGGATTGTTTACCTTGAGTTGTAGGGCTATGTGTCATAAAGTGGTTTCATAAAAGAGCCCATTATGACAACACCATGATAATTAACTCAATCTCTAATATCAACAACCAATCAATTTAATTAAAAGTAACAAACCCCTTAATTACAACCAATTAAATCAACTAAATAATATTGGTTACTATTGGGTAACCTAGGCTCATTAGGCTATTAACTTAGCTCTAAGGAAGGTGAAATAAACTTCAAAGTCATGGTGTAAATAAAGATAGTAATCACTCAACCCATAAAAATATTCATCTTAAAATAAAATTCAAATCATTAATACTTAAACTCAAACTCAAATCCCTTAAACATTCAACAAATTATAACACTAGGCAACTTCAGCAACAATCCAACATAGGGTATATCCAAACCATATAGCCTGATGCACACATTTTAGATGGTTTGTTAGGAAAATCAACTATAGTTTTAGGCTAGGTCGGTGTTTACTTTTCTGCTACTTGTGTGCCAAGCTTTTTGTGATTTTTAGTTCTTGCTAGTTTCTTCAACTGATTGATGTGATAGCTTATTTATGTGTTAAATTTTATGTAATTAATGAATTGATGTGATGGACATTAGATTAATTTTAGGTTAAGAATGATCTAGATGCTCAAAGAATTTCCTACACGTGGCTATACTTGTCAAGGGCTAGGACAAAGGGATAAAATTCCAACATAAATTGACAAATTTTTTGCATGTGTTAAAAAATGCTAAGTCCCCTTGAAGTTAAAAGATCATGGTCAAGTGTATCTATAAATTTTAATTTGATTAAATATATAATTTCTTAGGACTGTTGATATTTTTAATTATATTTGCATAGGATAACCATGCAGGTTGTTTTAGAATTTTCTTTGAACTCTTTATATAAAATTTGATTGAGTCAAGTGTTATGAACGTTGATCTTTGAGATGGGATATTAATAATCCAACCTTAAATCAAAAGAGATGGGAAACATCCCTTAGGGGAGAGTTCCTCATCATTTGGAGATTCAGGTTAGGATGTTTTGAAGATCCAAAGAGAAATAAAAACACCCTTTATATTGGAGTTTATTTTCATTTGGATATCCAGACCCGACAAATCCAAGGAGCTTATAGAAGGAAGTTAGATGATGTAGTGAAGACTTAGAGAATATCCCACTCTAAAAAATCACTTGCATTAGTTTTAAGATTAGAATATGAGTTGTTGTCAGTGGTACCTGACAACTTTTATTTTTTGCAGACCCTAGGTTATAATTAAGTTGCACTTGCTATATGGTCATTAAATTTATTTAATTATGTATTGATTGAATGTTTATATTTTTTATGTAATAGAAATTTACAATAATTTTAGGTTTCTTCTCTTTCTTGCCATTTTTATTTTAGGTTGGAAATGTATGGAGGCTCATGAGGGAATGTTAATAACTTTTTCTACTCAAACTAAATAAAATTTTTAGCCACACATAAATTTTTTAATGATTTAAGAAATAAGCTCAAGATTACTACAAGTTCCCATGTATTCATATTAAATTCTTCTCTTCGTTGTTAAGCACCATCATGCATGCGGGTTCATGCAGACCACCTAGCATATTAGGGTGCATCTTTATTAAGGGAATATTCAACAATTTTTAGGAAAAAATCTATATATTTTTAAGCCTAATTTTAAAGCTATTTCATATCAATTTTATGCATTTAAAGGTCAATCAGCATGCATTGCCTTAGAAATAAATTAAAGAATCATAAACTTTAATTACATTTTTGAGGCACTATAACCCTACATAAATCAAGGGGACAATTAGGACCTGCTCTTACATTAGCCATAACTCCTTAAAACTTAAATAATAATGTCCCTACCCATATTTCATAAAAGATCAGATACATTGTTTTTAAGTGCCTAGGTGGTTAGTTGACTACCATCCAGGCTAGGATAAGTCCAGATTTGTATTGCATTAGCTTAGTTCAGGCCACTATCATTTAGTGCCCAAATTAGACTTAAGATTTAAGGCAAACTCAAAATTATAAGGTCCTAAATTCTAGTAATATAATCCCAACCTTCTAATAAATTAATAGCTAAAATTAAAATCTCTCAAAACCAAAATTTCAAGCACATAAGGTAGACTAGGGCATTTCTAAATCAATTTAGAATCTTGAAATACCCTCTACTTCTCCTCCTTTGGCCTCAAGAAATAAGTGTTCAAATTTAATCTAATCAAGATTAAAAATTCTAGCCTCACTCCCTTTGATATCACTCTTTAAAAGTATCAAAAATAAAATTTCTATTATTATTTTAATCGAGATTTTTGGTAGGAAATTCAAGCTTCCTACGATGTAATTAACTATGAGGGCATGCACTCATAGGAGATTTAAAAACTCCAGATCAATTTTCAAAATTCAATTAATTCTCTTTGGAAAAATCAAAATAATATGACGATCATTATGGTCATATTTGGACAATCAGTAATAAAAGATATCATCCTTCCTTGGAAAGATATATCATTTATTATCGTGACTTCAAATATAAAATAAATGATGTTTTAACTAGATTATTCTAATCAAATACTTGATCAAATGTCATTTTGACCATTCGGGGTCATATACAATTTTTTCTTGAATTCGACTATCATAATTAGGATGAAATTTATAGTTTTGTTGTCTAAACCCATTAGTGAATGATATTCTTGCCTCTTGAGAAGATATATCATTCATAATGACTTGTTTGACTTCAAAAATGTAAATTCCATAAATCAAGTTTTCACAAAGAAAATTAATTCTAATTTTCTTTAAATTCTTTCCAATGCAATAGAAATCCTTTTTTAAACTCAAAAATAGTATATGCTTTACTTACTTATCTAAGATTTTTATAGGGTGTCGAATTATGGGAGTTTAGAGTGGTATTAAGATTGGAAGAGCTTAATCTATCCTTTGTGTTTTACACTTGACTAGACGGTAGGTGATGCATATGCTCAAAATAATATCAATATAAAAATAGAATCATTAGGAAACACATTGTATTTACATTCCATCAATCTAGAATATTTTATCCAAATAGTATTTCATTTAATTATTTTTTATTTTGAATTAAAGGATTGAATCTCCATCAAAACTTATTTAAATTAAGTAGAATAATTACTATAGCTGAAGTAAATAGTACTAGCATTTGCAAGTAAATATTCTTTCTCATTGGATCGATACTCTATTCTGTCGTTATATTACATTACTCAGCAAGTATACTAATGTAAATTAAGTGGGGTTTTTATAATTTCTATATAAAACAAATTTAAGCATTATTTTGGGATTGATAGAGCCCTAAATTTTATAATTCTTTAGGTTAGTCCACTGCCCCATCAAATTTTTGGCACCTTTACCAGATAAGAATTTATTTTATTTACAAATTTATTATATTGATAAATCAATTGCATAATTATTCATACATATTTTTTATTGTTTTATTTTAATTTATTGATTTAATATCTATAGTTACATGTTGAGATGACATAGAGGGGAGGTACGCGTAAATTTTATTTCTTAAATTGAGAGAACACTTTCTAAAATTGAAACCACCAAAAAAAAATTAAAATGACTTACCTTTTTTGCAAACCCTTTAGTATACATAATTCTTCAAAGCATAAATAGACCCACTATTCAAGCACATAATTTTGAATTAAAACCTTCAATCATTCAAATGGTACAAAATTATCAGTTTGGGAAAACTCCCGTTGAAGACCCTAACCTATATTTGTAATATTTCTTAAAAGTTTCTGCAACATTTAAGTACAATGATGTTAGTAATGATGTCATTAGACATATATTATTCATATTTTTTCTTAGAGATAAGGAAAAAATATGGTTAAATTCTTTACCTCTAGGCCTATTACCACATGGAATGAGTTCACCCACAAATTTCTAGAAAAGTATTTTCCACCTTTTCAGACTGTCAAGCTTATAAATAATATTACTTTTTTTACTCAGTTAGATAAAGAATTTATTTATGAGAGTTAGGATCGATTCAAGGACATGCTTAAGAAATGCCATCACTATGCCTTACATGATTGGTTGATAATTCCAACACTTTATAATGGATTGTCGGGATCCCTTAGAGTCATAATTGATATTGCAACTAGAGGTTCTTTGATGTCAAAGCCTTTTGAAGATGCTTATGAATTAATTAAAGAAATGATAAAAAAAAATATCTTTAGTGGCATGCTAATAGGGTGAATCCAAAGAGAGTGGTTGGAGTTTAAGAAAATAATTCTTTATCTATTTTTGACTGCACAAGTTATAGAAATATCAAAGAAATTAGGCACTTTAGGCTTAAATTCTAATTCATCTTTACATTTGGAAGATTAAGCTCAATGGAAGAAAAAGATATCCAAGGGATTATAAATATAAATTTGATAGGAAGATGAATATTTCCTATTCAAATACATATAATTTTGGTTAGAAGAATCACCAAAATTTTTGTTTGTCTAATAATAATGATGAAAATTAATGAAATTTTGATTAAAATCACTAAGACAAAAATTGAAATAAGCAAAATCAAGCTAATAATAATCAAAGATTAGCATGTCCTCATGGATTTAATCAAAGAAATAAATATGGAACAAAAAAACACTATTAGAAGAAGGGTTCATACAATTGGAAAATCAATTACAAAATAAAATTGCTTCAATTAAAAATTTGAAACCTCAACTAAGTTAGCTTGTAATTTATGTGAGTACTAGACCCATTAAATTTCCTTTTAGTTTGAAATTAATCCTAACAAGAAGGAAATATATTCCAATAAGACCTAATTAAAGAATAATAAGCATCCACCATAGCCAAATGGAAAATTTGGGCAATGTCTAGCTTAAGACTATAACCTTAGCGCGCTACTTAGAAGGAAACCCATCCTTAGGTCAAGTTAGTTATATATGTTGATTATGTATAGGTTGTTAAATCTAAGCTATTGTCCCAAGGCTAACCAAGAGGGGGGTGAATTGGTAATTTAAAAATTCTCTTGGATTTTTTTAATAAAAAATCATTTTGATTCTCAAAGCAAGTTAATTTAAGTTTAAAATAAACTTTTCATCCACAGTAAATAACTTGCTATAAATAAATACAAAAATTAAAAGACATAAAGATTTATAGTGGTTCAATCAAACATGACCTACATCCACTCCCTGAAGACTCCCTTTTCAGGCATTGCACTATTACCAAAGTGTGTCTCCTTCTTCCCCCACAGCAAGGCGGAGAAGCCTTTACAAAAACCTCTCTTCCACCAATCCCTGGTGTGGCATAGAATGGTCGTCCTTTCACACTCTCCAAGTGTCGGTAGAGAATCATCATTTGTTCACACTCTCCAAGTGTCGATATAGAATCATCATCCTTTCACACCCTCTAAGTGTCGGTATAGTATCATCATCCTTTCACACCCTTTAAGTGTCAGCAGAGTATCGCTCTCCCTTGTTCTCCCTTATTATGTGGATCCTTACTTGGTGAAACCATTGTGGATCCTTACTTGGTGAAACCTTTGTGAACCCCCTCATAATCTCCCCTCACAAGATCCTCTCTCTCTCTCTCCCTTGTTCTCCCTCTCCTCTTGGCTCTCTCAGGTCAGGACAGTAGCAAAACATACTCTCTAGGGTAAAATAAGAGGTCTTATATAGAAGACCTTCAAATTTGCTCTTAATTACAACAAACTAACATTATCATCTAAGACAATCAATCAATCATCATGTATGATCAGTTCAAATTTAACTCAATCACCTAGGGCGATTTGCAAGAGTCTTGGTGATTAGAAGGTTACTTTATTAAGATTATCTTGGATTATCTGATATCATCCTGTATGATTAATTCAAGTCATCAAATATCATCCAAATTGTCACCCTTAATGGATGTCTGGATGATAAAAAAAATAAATTGATCGTCTAGGCTGATCTCACGATCATCCCGGATAATTAGTTCATTTCAGTACATATTGTCCAGAGCATCGCTCTGAATGGAGCTAGGCCGATTATTAATCATCGAGAAAGAACTAAGGTTTGTGAACTGATTTTCCTGTATAATCCTGTGATCATTTAGGATGATATAATCGAGCAATCAAATATTAATTTCTTTCTTTAATTACCAGATTAATTTAGGTATAACTATATTATATCATCTAGGATGATGACAAAAAATAAAACATGCCTAAATAGATCTGGCGGCTGATTCTTTTTAATTTTGAGCCTATTGTCCCAGCTGATACTAATATCGTCCAGGACGATTCACTTAATTGTAGCTGCCTTAACTAGGATGCCATAATTAGGGTTTCTATTTTTAATCAATCATCTAGGATGATTTTTGGATCATCCTGAATGATGTGATAAAAATAGAAAATGTTAACGAACATATATAATTTTTCCCCAAGTGTGTGTGTGTGCAAGATTACTTAGCATCATGACTCATAAAGTTACAATGGATTGAAGAAAAGGTAAAAGATATTTGACATACATTACAAGCTAACTCAGTCCTAATCTACCCAATCTTGAGCTGGTTTGATTTGCAATTTGATCTTATGGACCTGAAATATTAGTAGGCAAGACTGTCGTAAAAAAATAAATTTTTTTGCTATCATCAATATTCTATTCCCTGAAATCATATTCATAATAATCTCCCCTTTTTTTATGATTGCAAACATAAAATAATTAAAACTAAATAAAACACAAATAGAAGTAAAATAGTACAATGAAATAACTCAACTATTACCCACTACTCCTCTTTTTGCCATCACAAAAAAGAGGCAAAAAATAGAAAAGAAAAGAAAATAAAACAGAAGATAAAAAAGAAGAACGAAAGCAAAGTTTTTTTTTTTTTTGATCATTTGATCAAGGGCATTATTGACCTCATTTTTGTAGGGTCACTAAGGCCTTTTCAAGACTCCAGATTAATTTTTAGACCCTAGGATCCACTCAGACTTAGGATCCTTCCCTAGAGCAGACCTTAGGGCCGCACTCTAGAGCTAGGGGTTCCCTTAAGATCTAGATCCTAAAACGCCTTTAGGGGTTAATCTAGACTCAAATCATTCCTACCTTTATCAATTCCAAACTTTCAAATTTGATTCCTACCTTTGATTCAATTCTAAATCTCAAACTTCAAGTTCAATCTCAAACCCAATTAATTCAAATTTTAAACACATCCAAACTTTGATTCAATCCATTGAGAATCAAAATTTACTTAGACTTTGATTCTACCTTTGATCTACTGCTTTGACCTATCCATTCATTTAACAATCAACCACATGATTGTAAATGGATTTGTATACACCCAATATTGATCCAATCAAACTTGAAATCCATTCCCAAATCCAGAAATCCAACTCAAATTCCAAGTCCCTAAAGGTCTTGTCCGTAAAGACCTTTTCAAAAGAATTTTTAAACATTTCAAAAACCCAAAAGTCAAAATGGCTATGATTCAGGGTCTATCACTTGGCAAAGTGTAAGACAAGTCTCTGGAGGTTACCTCTCCATTTTGGCCCTATTCTGTGGTTCTAACCTAGAATCTGATTAAATTCAAAGCTGTAAAACGCTTTAAATATTTACAGCCTATGCACTGAACCTAACCCCTTTCAGATATTGATCTTGGGCCATTTCATAAGCCTCCAAACACTTCCAGACTCTTGATTTTAACCACTGAAGCAGTAAACTGTATTTTTTTCAGACTCCATTTTTTAACTCCTCAGTTGACGCAATAGGTCAAATTGACCAAATACCTTATGAAGAATTCAAATGGCCATTTCAAATCAAATCAATCTCAACTCGTTTGAAACCCTTCCAATGAATTTTAAATGTTAACTCAACTTGTTGAACTCAAACCCAAAACCTGGGTCAACCTGGTTGACGCCAAGTCGAATCCAAGTTTGACCATGGACCCATACAGCCCTTCTCTTTCAAATTTTGAATCAATCCATTCCAAGTCCTTTGAATGTATGGGATATACATCTTGGGTACGCCAAGAGACCCCTTTGGGTGACCATGTCTGGGCTCGACTTGGTGTAGACCATATGTGTTTGCTTGGACCAAGTGATTCATTCTCAGCAAGGATGCCTCTTTCTCGTGTGGACCACTACTTTTTGAGTCGTTAACCTACAAATGTCTTGAATAACTCAATATATATGTGCTATTGGGAGCTAAATCCCATTTTTAGTGAAACCCAATACACAACGTGAGTCCTTGATCAGCATAGACGCCTTGCTGGGACTCACTTGTGTCATGAGTATAGGAAGCGCTGATGACCCATAATGGTGCCGCGCAAAAGCATCTTGGGATTTAAGAGCGCAGAGCTCACATCTAACCCTAAGCTCCAAGGAACATCCTTGAAACCAACACCTTCCTCGGATAATGGTGTGCCCTAAGGTTTTTCAGAGTTCTCTACGATACCAGTATCAACCAGATCACATAGCCTTTGGGGCTACTCGCTGAGGATCAAGAAGTGTGAGGCCCTCAACCCAAAGTTTCTTGAGGCCAATAAACTCACCTTGGGTCAAGACCTATGGCTAACCCACCATCGATGCCCAAGGCTTGGGGCAACGATAAGAGTGGATCCCAATTTGCACTTGCATTGGGTGCACTCCTAGAAGTTACCCCAGACCACGAGGTCGTTTACCACACCTTCACGCCTGCCAGGTGCAACTGGCATGAGTAGTTTGTAAGCGCCAGGAGATTCGAACCGCCCGAACCTTCGATGCTCAAAGATAACTTTTGGATCAATGCAAAAGCACGGGAGCCAGTGAGGGTTATCATGGGGGAGCCAGTCACATCGGGATCATCACGTTATTGTCCAATTTCGACTGCCATTGGGTTGTGCGGTCCACACAAGACCCAAGACCTACCTCCACTCCACCAAGCGTCAGGGAGCCTTCTGGCGTGGGCTTTTGCGGGTCGTCAGAGCACAGCAGTCAGACACGATGTTTGAGATCCTTATGTCCATCACCTCTAGTGACAAATTGAGCCTTCACTGGTTGCTGCCAGAGCATGTGCCCCTATTTTCGGACAGGAGCTTCGGTGCAAACCAGGCACCATTTGGG